CCAACATCTTTCTCAGTCCAGCTGTTGTCTCACCTAAGCAGATGGAGCCGGGGGGTTCCCAGGTCACCCAGGCAGTCCCTGGTTGCTCACCTGGGGTGTGTGCACAGGCAAAGCCTGGTACCCAGCCACGCTGCAGCAATGACAAAAGAATTTGTCATTGTCATTTGTCATTTCAATTTGTCATTGAAAATGTGATTTTCAAGCCTGTAACAATTTACAAATGAAGTCCCATAGCTCCTGCTCCCTCCACCGTGTCCATGTGGCCATCACTCCTGCCAGCCCCTGGTCAGAACCGCACACCCTGCTCAGCAACTCCACCTTTCTCCTTGGCCCAGCTCTGGCTGCAGCCTTGCTGAGCACGGGCCATCATCCTGGGAGGATGGAGGAGCTCCTCGGCGGGTCCTCAGACCCTCCTGGGGCTGGCTGGGAGTCGGGACACCCTCCCACCTGCAATCTGCCTCCACAGCCCACGGCTGAGCTCACCACACCTGGCACTACATCCCCTTGGGTGGACGGGGCACCTGTGGCTCATCCAGCTTCCCCTCCTCGATTCCCATGGGTGCCCGCTGCTGCTGCCCTCTCCACACGCCAGATGTGCTGCAGCACCGGTGCTGAGTCCCCTCCACTCCAGCACATGCTGACCAGATGCTGGATCAACGACCTGGGCTCCTACGTGGCTGCCTCAGTGATAAATGGGAAAGGTGACTGCCGGCTCCTACCACACAGCCGTGACTGCCACCATGGACGAGATGCAGGTGTCCCCACTGCAGGGGTCCCAGCACCGCATGAACCAGAAGAGCCAGCCCACCTTCGGCTTCGCTGTCAACTGGAGTGGGCAATGAACAAGAGGAGGTAGAGACATGCACACAGTTACTGGTGTGATGGAGATGTGCTGGGAGGGCTCCTATGACTGTAGTGTTGGAAGGAGGGATACAGGCTCTTTAGGAAGGACAGGCAGTGGAGACAAGGAGGGGGTGTCACCCTCGATGTCAGTGACAGCTGGAGTGCAGGGAGCTCTGCCTGGGGATGGGTGAGGAGTCAATCAAGGTCTGATGGGTCAGGATTAAAGGGAGGGCAGGGACAGGAGATGTTATTGGGGGGTCTGCTACAGGCCACCTGACCAGGAAGCCTATATACAGATAGGAGCAGCCTCATGTTCACAGGCCTGGTCCTCATAGAGGACTTCAACCACCTCAGTATCTCTTGAAGAGGAACATTGCAGGGCACAGGCAATCCAGGAGGTTCCTGCAGTGTGTAGCTGATAACTTCCTTCTCCAAGTGATAGAGGAGCCAACAAGGAGAGGTGCTATGTTGGACCTTGTTCTCACCAACAAGGAGGGGCTGGTGAGGAGTGTGAAGCTCAAGGACAGCCTTGGCTGCAGTGACTGTGAAATGGTGAAGTGCAAGATCCTTTGGGCAGCAAAGAGGATGCACAACAAGCTCACTGCCCTGGGCTACAGGAGAGCAGACTTCGGCCTCTTCAGGGATCTGCTTGCCAGAGCAACTTGAGATAAAGCCATGCCCGGAAGAGGGGCCCAGGAAAACTCGTTAATATTCAAGGATCACCTCCTCCAAGCTCAGGAGCAATGCATCCTGACCAAGATGAAGTCAAGAAAAAACACCAGGAGGCCTGCATGGGTGAACAAGCAGCTCCTGAACAAGCTCAGACACAAAAGGGAAGCCTACAGAGTGTGGAAGCAAGGGCAGGTAGCCTGTGAGGAATACAGAGAAAGTGTCTGGGTAGCCAGGGATCAGGTTAGGAAGGCCAAAGCTCTGACAGAATTATGTCTGCCCAGGGATGATGCAAAGGCAACAAGAAAAGCTTCCATAGGTATGTTGGTGTTAAAAGGAAGACTGGGGAAAAACGTTGACTGTCTGTGGAAGGAAACAGGAGCCCTGCTTACCTGGGACATGGAGAACACTGATGTACTTAATGACTTTTTTGCCTCAGTCTTCACCAGGAAGGGCTCCAGCCACACTGCCCACATGCACAAGGCAGAGGCTGGGACTGGGAGAATGAAGAAGAGTCCACTGTAGGAGAAGATCAGGTTCAAGACTATCTAAGAGACTTGAAGGTGACAAGTCCATGGGACCTGATGAGATGCGTTATGCATTGTGAGGGAAATTGCGAATGAAGTGTCTAAGCCACTATCCATCATATTTGAGAAGTCATGACAGTCTGGTTAAGTTCCCACTGACTGGATAATGGGAAACAAAACCCTCATTTTTAAAAAGAAAGAAAAGGAAGACACAGGAAACAACATCTTTGTGCCTGGTAAGGTCATGGATCAGATCCTCCTGGAAACTACGCTAGTGCCCATGGAAAATAAGGAGGTGATTGGTGACAGACAAGATGGCTTCACTAAGGGCAAATCGTGCCTGATGAATTTGGCAGCCTTCTACAACAGGGTTACAGTGTTGGTGGATAAGGGAAGAGCAACTGATGTCATCTACCTGGACCTGTGCAAAGCACGACATCCTTGTCTCTAAAATGGATTTGATGGATGGACCACTTGGTGGATAAGGAATGGGCTGGATGTTCATGCTTAAAGACTTGCAGTCAACAGCTCAATGTCTGAGTGGAGAGCAGTGATGAGTGGTGTTCCTCAGGGGTAGGTGTTGGGACCGGTGCTCTTTAACTTCTTTGTTTTCAACTGGAAAAGTGGGATCGAGTGCACCCTTAGCAAGTTTGCCATCGACACCAAGCTGTGTCGACACATTGAATGGAAGGGATGTGCCATCCAGAGGGACCCAGAAAGGATGGAGAGGTGGGCCTGTGCAGACCTTATGAAGTTTAACAAGCCAGGTACATGTCCTGCACATTGGTCGGGGCAATCCCAAGCCTAAATACCAGCTGGGCAATGAGTGGATTGAGAGCAGACTTGTGGAGAGAGACTTGGAAGTATTGGTGGATGAAAAACTGACTATGAGCCAGTAATGTGTGCTTGCAGCTCAGAAAGCCAAACGTACCTTGGGCTGCATCAAGAGAAGTGTGGCTAGAAGTTCAAGGGAGGTGATTCTCCCCCTCTTTTCTGCTCTTCTGAGACCCCACCTGCAGTAAGAAAGACATGGACCTGCTCAAGCAGGTCCAGAGGAGGCCACAAAAATGATCAGGGGACTGGAGAACCGCCCTTACGAGGACAGTCTGTGAGAGTTGGGGTTGTTCAGCCTGGAGAAGAGAAGGCTCTGGGGAGACCTTATAGTGGCCCTCCAGTACTTAAAGGGTCTACAGGAAAGATGGGGAGCGTCTGTTTATCAGGGGGTGTAGGGATAGAACGAAAACTAATGGGTATAAACTGAAAGAGGGTATGTTCATATTAGATATTAGGAAGAAATTCTTTACTGTGTGAGGGTGGTGAGACACTGGCACAGGTTGCCCAGAGAAGCTGTGGCTGCCCCCTCCCTGGCAGTGTTCAAGGCCAGGCTGGATGGGGCTTTGAGCAACCTGGGCTAGGGGAAGGTGTCCCTGCCCATGGCAGGGGGGTTGCAACTAGATGGTCTTTAAGGTCCCTTCCAACCCAAACCATTCTGTGATTCTATGATACTGAGGTACACTGGGGTTAAGGCTGCTTGGCACCCCTATGCACACTGGACATGGCAGTGCGGTGACAAATGGGTGGCAGAAGGGACAACAGCCCCCAAGAGGGGTTTTCCCCAGCTGAGCAGTCACCAACCTGCAGGAGCCAGGGCCTCCCTGTGAGGTGCTGGGGAAGCGTCAGCATGACCTTGGGGGACTGTCTGCCTGCAACCACCCTCTCATACATCTGACAGCTGCAAATTTGGAACCACCCAGATTGTGCAATGTCCTGGCATGAGCTGTAACCCACAGCCCTGGCAGCAATAAAAAGGCGAGAGAGCAGGCACATCCTCAGAGCCCTGCGAGGAGCACATCCCCAGGTACGCCAGCTGTCTGCCCCCTGCAGAGATGGTGCGAGTGACTCCCTTCCTCCTGGTGCTCAGCCTGGCCCTGGTGGCTCAGGGCCTCTCTGACAGAAAGGTAACGGCAGGTCCGGGATGCATGGGGCAGGGCGTCTGCTGCTCCAGGTGTGCCTGCTCCTGTCACCTTGCCTGTGCCTGGCCTGTGCTGCAGCACCAACTCAGTCCCCTCCGTTCCAGTGCGTGCTGACCGGGCAATGGAAAAACGACCTGGGCTCCAACATGACCATTGGGGAATTGCAAGGAAATGGAGCCTTCAGTGGCACCTACCTAACGGCCGTGTCAATGAGCCCGAAGATCCTGGAGTCACCGCTTCTGGGGTCCCAGCAACACACAAACCAGCCCACCTTTGGCTTCACTGTCAACTGGACCTTTACAGGTGCTTCTCCTTTCCAAGCGTCTGCACTGTCCCCAGAACTGCCTTGACGTCCCTGTGCTGTCTCTAGACCCCCTGGATCTTCCTGTGTTGTCCCCAGACCTTCCCTGCTCTTCCTGTGCTGTCCAGCAGATCCCATTTCCATCACTGTGGTGTCCCAAGATCTCCTTCACCTTCCCTGTGGCGTCACTGGTGCTCTTCTGCCCTTCCCTGCAGTACCCTT